TCTAATTTCCATATCACGAAAATGGACGCTGCACAAGTGTAAGCGTTTCTTAAAAAAAGCCGGAATGGCCGCTTTCAAATTTCTCTCTGATGTCGGCATTTCTTCGAACTGTGCTATTAGCTATTAACCCAGATAAAATATTACAGGATAACGAAAAAAATCCATTTTTTTTGTTATCTTTCTATGATTTTTTTTTTTTCGATTTTACGTAGAGGGTTCTATTAGCTTATATTCCCGATTTCACATATGCCGGATATTCACATCGTCCGATGCCTAGTAATTTTTACTGCTTTTTATTAATGAGAACGTTTTATATTAAAATGAGAAATGTTTAGCTTATTAGAAATGTTTATATTATATTAAAATAAGAAATGTTTTATATTAAATAAAAATAATCTTATAATGGCTCAATAATAATAAACAATAAATAACAAGAAGGGGCTACAAGCCAGATTTTATGTATTTCAAATTCTTAAAACATACGTTTTTAAACCTTATTATTAGGTCATCCTCATTGTAAAAAAATTAAACGCAAATTTGACAAAATTAATAAAACGGCTAAAATTATACAATTTATAGATACGCAAAAAGTTGGTAGTATCTACCGTAGTAAACGGTAGACCGGAGAATATTGTTAATTTTGTTAGGAATAATTCTATTCAGATTTTTAATAGATGTTACACTGATTCAATTCAATTAAGTTCGGTTGATAAACAAATTTTAGAGTGGCTAAATTTAATATCAATAAATTTAATATCAAGATTTGAACAAAGTTGATTATATACATAATATTGAAGAGAATTATTCTGACAAGAATACATATATTATAATAGATAAAGATTCTACAATTAAGTTAACTTCTGAATTACGTTCTTTACTAGTGAGATGAAAAAAGAGTGGCTTTATTGATAATTCCACATATAGGAGATTACTTATGACGGATAATTTATCTAGAGGATATGGTTTAATTAAAATCCACAAACCTGGTTATCCTCTAACAGTAATTGTATCTTCAATTAATAGTCCTTTATACTTTTTATCTTTATTCTTACATAATATTATTGTCAATAGTATACCAGAAGCATCTAGTTACATAAAAAGAAATGGCTTCCATTTAATCGAGAAATTAAATGGAACCCATTTTGATTCTAATTACATTTTGATATCATTGGATAGTAGTGTCCTTGTTCACTAGGGTTCCAGTCGAACTGATATTAAATAGTGTTGAAAAAAGATGGAACTATATTTCAAAAAAGATAAAAATTCCATTAGAAGAATTTTTAGCTATCATCCGTCTGGTTAACTCTACATATTTTTCATTCAATAATAAAATCTATAAATAAATTTTCGATGCCCCAATGGGCACCATTGTCGCCAATTATTGCAGACATAGTTATGCAGGATCTCGAGAAAATTGCGATCCAAAAATTATCAATTAATTTATTGTCCTACTTCTCTTATGTGGACATTATTTTGCCAACTCCACTAGATAGTACAAATATAATACTAGAAATCTTTAACTCACATATCAGATTGCAATTTACTATGGAGATCGACTGAGGGAAAATTAAGTTTTTTGCACGATATGATTATGATTGATAAAATTATTTTTGACAGATATAAGAAGGTCACTTGTTCGGGCAGATTTCTTAATTTTCACTCACACCATCCTTTTTCACAAAAGGGGTGTTGTCTTCGGTTTCGTTGATAAAATAGTTAAATTGTCTCATCCTCATATCCACGAAAAGAACTTGGTTTATACTATTAATATTTTTCTAAATAGTTATCCTTTTCCTTTCATTTTTTCAATATTTGAAAAAAGATTAAAATATCACACACAGAACAATAAAATAAAACATAATATCTATGTTAAAAAAAATTCTTTACAGTTCCATATATAAAGTCTATCTCTGAAAATTTTTTACTTGTAGCATATAAATGTAATTGTAAACTATCATATATTCAATCCCAAATATAATAAAAAGCCTTATAACTAGAGGTAAAGATAGACTAGATTACTCAGCTAATCAAAATGTTGTAAATAAAATTTCTTGTGATAACTGTGAAGCTAGTTATGTAAGACAAATCAAAAGAAAATTAAAAATAAGACTAAATGAATATATTTCGGATATTAATAAAAAGACTGGTTCTTTATTGGTGATTACTGATCATCATATTAACTATAACTATAATTTTAATTAGAAAGACGTTAGATACGGAACCGTCGTACAATAAAAGATTGATCTCCGAAATGGTTCACATTAAAAAACAAAAACTGAGATTGAACAAACAAAAATGTGAAAATATTACCTAGTTCTTATCTACAAATTTTGCAGTTTCCTTCTCCATCCTAGTCTTTTTTTTCCTTCCTTTTTCCTTTGTTCCTTTCTTATCTCTATTTCGTTTCCAATCTCATCCCCTCTCTTAACAAAATAATATTATATAAAGCAACAGAATGTCGCTCACACTTCATAATACAAGCAATTTGACTGAACTAGTTCCAATTTTTATCTCTAATCGCATTTGCTTCTTGCGAATTAAATTGACTCATTGTTTCAATTACTGATTATATCCTAGTTTACCAGTTGCAGTTGAGGTATATGTATAATAATTTTATTTATTAACACACACTTTAATATAGTTGTTTATTAAAATAAGGATTATATATACTAATAATTTTGATGAATATAGCGATCATTTATTCATTGTTATTTTAATTTTTATAATTTATTTTATTAATTTGATAACAGAAGGTGTGCTGGTACATTTTTATTTAATGACTCATGTTCAATATTTTTATCATCATGGACTTATTGCCGACTATTACAATATAATGGAAGAATATAACCGATAATATTACGAGAATAAAAAGCATTGCAATGTGCGAAAGATAAAAATCTGGCTTATAGCCGTTTCTTGTTATATATTGTTTTATATTAAATTTGCCAATTAGTGATGTGTACAAGATGATATAGGGTTCTTATATGTACATAGAGTCTGGCTACTTAACGAATTCGCGCGTATTTTCCTTTCTGTATGCAGGATTCATAAATGGAATTTTTGACAGTCATAAAATTTTGTTTAGTTTTGTGTAAAAATTAAATTCAGCGATTTAATATTATTAGAAGTCCTATGACTTTTAAAATATAAAAACTAAAAGAAGTCTTATAAAGACTACTAAAAGATCCCATCTATATATACTATTGTATAAGCACGCACGCAATTTTGTGCGTGCGTGCGTGCGTACGTGCGTGCGTGCGTGCGTGCGATATATACACAACTTTAAAGTTTCTTTACAATTTTTGCTTCTTAAATTTAAGTAATTGTTGCTTAAAACATTTTTTTCTCGAATACTGCATTTTTTAAAATATATTTAAACCTATTTTCTATCGACTCGTCTCTCTTTCTCACTTCATCAAAGATGCTAACAGCGCATGTTAATGTTTATTATATCTGTACGTTACAGTTTAATTTATAGGGCAATTTACACAGAGTTGGGAAAGTTACTTTGTAAAAATAACTAGTTACAGTTTTCTTTTCAAAAGTAATTAGTTACAGATCCAAGTTACCGAGACTAAAAATGAACTTGTTACAATTACAGTTACTAAAAAAGTTACTTTTCTGTTATCGTGACAGAACAATGGGTAACATCGATATTAGAGCTATCAAAGAAAAAAGAAATAATTTAAGTTTGCAATACGAGGGCAAGTCAATAAGTTCTTAGAAAATCTGTCAGAAGGCACTAGCAATGTCATGCCACATTACTTTTTGATAAGTAGCACCTTTCAGCTGATTACTGTCAAATTTTGAGCGGAATTCATTGCGTGGTTTTATTTCTGTAGATGATTAAAGCGAACAAACTTCGTATTTTTTGCAAAATAGAAAAAACGAGTTTCGTGCAGTGATCAAACATCTACATATGAATGATTTAACGCCGAAAGAAATCAAAGCCGAGTTGGATAATGTTCATACATCTGCACCAGCGTTTGCGATTGTATACAATTGGGTGAATAAATTTAAACGTGGCCGTACATTCACATGTGATGCACCTCTTTCGGGACGTCCAATTGAGGTTGCTAAGCCAGAAATTATCGATAAAATCCACGAGATTGTTTTGACTGATCGACGAGTGAAAGCGCGCGAGCTTGTTGAGGCCACAGGCATATCACATGGCACATTAATTTCAATTGAGCTGAAAGGAGACTATGTTGAGAAATAAAAATGAATTAATAAAAAAAAGTGTTTTACTATGTTTTTCTAAAAACTTATTGACTTGCCCTCGTACAATTTTAGTTAAAAATTTCTTTAATTTCGTGGAAATATACGCGAGATAACTCAAATAATGGACGAAATAATAAAATACTCGCTCTGGGTTGCGTTCCAAACACAAGGTGCGTTCCACTTATGCAACGCTTGCAAGTATCATTTTATCCTTGTTGTTTACAAATATTAAATGATACATACGAGCATTGCGTATGTTAAGTAGGATACACCCTTAGCGCTACAAATACTTCGAAGCATTTGTAGCATCAAGTGGATCGTAATCTTAATCAATATACAGATTTTAACCAATCACATTAAATTGACAAATAAGTTTAAAATGTAAAGTAACTGTAAAAATAACTGTTAAATTAGTTACTAGTTATTGGAAGAAATGTGACTAAGTTAAGTTACAATTACAGATAAAAAAGGAATTAAGTTAAGTAGTTACAGTTATTAAAAAAAATAACTGTAACTGTAACTTAGTTACAAGTAACTAGTTACTTCCCAACTTTGAGTTTACACTTATTAATTAGGAGAGAAAGAATACTAAATCCATTCAACAAGGCACTGTTTGTGATGCATATTTACGTTATTAGTTCATTTTGGTTTTTTAAACTAGTTTTTTATATTTATTTTTTATGGAATTTTGAATATATTTATTTTTATATAGAATTTTGAATATATTTCACTGTTTTGTAGCTGACTTAGGAAGTTAAAATTGATTTTATGTTTTTCAGCTTGGTATAGAAATCCATAATGGGACGAAGATTAAGGAAGAGCCTGTCGATACAACATCGAATACAATTGAATATGATACTCCTATAGTTAGAAATTATTATAGTTTAATTGATCATGATCATCATTATTGCGACAAATCATTATCTAATAAGTCATATAAAAGCATAAATAACACAGGAAACGGACATTCATCGAATGCACATACAAACGACGTAACTAATACTGTTAATACAGATCGTGAAAATGTAAAAACAAAGAAAGAAATAGATAATACCTTACCACGTTTTAAGAAACGAAAATATTCCAATGAAATCTTTAGTAATAAAAACACTAGTACACTATGTTCAGTAACCAAAAATGTTAAGAGAAAAAGAAAACAAAAAAGCATTACATTAGATTATAAAAAAAAAATACAATGTAAGAATAAATTAGTAAAAAAGGAATTTACATGTGACATATGTTTTAGGAAATTCAGTTGTCTTTCACATTGGAAAATCCATAAACAATATTACGAACTTGATAAAAGGAATAAGTGTAAGGTTTGTAATAAATATTTCATAGCTAACGACAAATTACAGTCTGATACGTGTCATTGCGTACATAGCATGCGTAGTACATACTTATCTTCATACAATTGTAATTTTTGCAGTCGTACTTTTAAGAAAAAATTGCTTTTACAATCTCACTTATTTCATGTACATAATGAGTTAATATGTTTTAATAACACTGTTAAACGTGAGACTTCCAAATCCAAGATCTTTAAAGTAAATAAATCTCCTGAAAATGATATTTTAATAACTAGTGCAAGTGAAAACTCATTATGTTCAAATAATCTTGTTCAATCAGGAAAGATAAATACTACGCTTATAAATAAATCTCGTAACGATGATGTGATTAATACTGAGAAATCAAGAACCGAAAAATTATTCAATAACGAAGTGTCGCCAACTAAAAGATTACGACAACCAACATTAACGGAATATCTTGAGCTTTGCAAAAAAAAACGCAATATTAAATTTAGTCCAAGTAAATTGAACATTACAAAAGATGATTTTCCTACGTGTGCTTTACATCGTGATGATCAAATAAAAAAACTTCCAGTAGAACAAAATGGACAAATTGATCTTTTATCTACACAATCAGATAATCTTCTAAAACGAACAGTACGTTCTATTCAGAAACAAAGTATGAAACATGAAATGCATAAAAAGCCATTTGTAAAACTACATGCAGATGTTGAAATGATGAAGTCTTTTCTAGAAAAACTTTCTGATACGGTTGTCGAAAATAAAATAACCAAAGATGGAACCAGTAATATTATTTCATATGATCGTGGAATACCTTACAGTTTACGATCTTTAAATGGAATTTCTTCCATGGAAGCAAGTGCAAATTTAGGAATGAGGAAGAACAAAAATGTATCTAAGAAGTCTCGATTTGGTACAGAATTTAATATTAAAAATAAAGAAAACGGGGTTTTAAAGCAAACGATTAATTTAGAAAAGATAACTTCTAAAGTGGATTGGAAAATTATTATGGCTTATTTTAAATGCAAGGAGTGTACAATTTTTTTAACAAGATGTGATGAACAACCAAGAAATTCTTATCAAATTTCTGCTCTTAAAACCAAGAAAAACACTTGTCTTACTTCTGGATGCAACTTTCAAGAAAGTGATGTACGAAATGAAGTGAAGCTAAAAGACGTAGAGGTTTCTTTGGAACGTTTAACAGTTGTTCCAACTGTACATATAAAAGAAAAAACACCGGATGTTGAGAAACACAATAACAATTATTTTTTGTGTAAAGTTTGTAAGGAGAGTTTTTCTTCAAAATTGGCCAAACGTATACATATTAAGTCGTCTCATATAGCATATATGTCAAGCATATGTGGTGCACGTTATAAGTTGAAGCATAAATTACTTCAACATTATCTACGCGAACATGTTTCTAAACAAAATCAATGTTGTATTTGTTATATGCTATTATCTGATTATGAAGCGTTGAAGCAACACTTAAATGTTCATTGTCTGAAGTATATTCAACGACAGGATGATCAATATTTAATAGATACTGAATTAGAATGCAACTTGACCAAAAAATCTAAGTATCTTCGTGACGAGACATTCTTGTCACGAACATCTTTGAAGGAACATCAAAGTCATTGTACAGTACAAAAAGAAATAGAAGAAGATCAGAAAGATTCCATGGAAGAAGCAAATTCATCCCCAAAGGATATTTCTGAAGTACAACATGAGAAGCCCGATGATATAGTTGACATAATATGTCACGAAAAAATTAATCTGGATGATTTATGTAATCCATTAAATAGCGACTGTGTAAAAAAATCGAATGAACATCAAATATCGTTTCATAAAAAAGAACAAGAAATCAATGAAGCTAATCAAAACATTCTTGTTAATAATAACTTAATTAAGGACAAAATAGGAACTATTAACGAATCGCAACACCCTAAAAAGCTTTTGGAAAATAATTCCACAATTAGTAATCAAGATGTCGCGAATACACAATTGAATAACATTGCAACAAAGAATGGAACTTATCCGTGCAATATATGTGGAAAGCAATTTCAAACTCCCAAGAATTTGGAAATACATGTACGCAATTTTAGCTTTACCCCTGATATTTGTCCATTGTGTGGCACTGGATTTAGTTCTAAACGTTTTTTACAGTCACATATTACTGCAGCGCATGTACCACATATTTCAAAAACTTACAATTTTCATTGTGTATTCTGTAACCAAGGTTTTTTTAAAAAACACGATCTTCGGTCTCATATATTACACTTACATGGTCAACAAGTACTCAATACGCTCACATGCAATCCTAATATAAATCAAGAGAAATCCAACAAATCAGTTACCCGTAGCACAGTATGTAACGTTTGTAATTTGGTATTTGAAACTCATGATCGCTATGTTGAGCATCGAATGTACTATTATAAAAATCATACATTTAGATGCTCACTCTGTGAACAAAACTTTCAAGGAATGTACATGTTTCATCATCATAACAAACTTACACATTGTCCAGAAGATAAACGCAAATCATACAATCACATCTGCGAGATATGCCATGAGGGATTCAATCATGAGTCACATTTTTATTCGCATAATATGCATGTGCATTCGAATGAAGTGAATTTAGGTGAAACTGCAAAAGAATCTAAAGAAGATACCAAGAATAGAAGCCGGGATTCATCCAACGTCCAGAAACAGATTAGAAATTGTTCTACGGATCAAGAAAACCAAAATGATCAATCCAATGAGTATACTTGCCAAATTTGTCAGATGAAATGTAGAAATATGGATCATATGGTAATGCACAAAGAATTTTATTCTAATGAGGGAGATTTTAAATGTGACAAGTGTAATAGACGATGCAAAACATTTGATTTTCTTAACCAACATAAGAAATTAACTCACTCTTGTCGAGATGTTTATAATGGACATATGTGTCATATTTGTGGCGAAGTTTTGGAAACAAGTATTTCATTGAAATGTCACGAAAAACACTTCCACTCAAATATTATCAGCAATAATACGGATAATTGGAAGAATCCAGAAGAATTGAGTAATCAGTTATTATCTTTAAATATAATATATCCAGGTAAATCTAAAAACAATACATGTAATGTAACTGAATACAAATGCTTATTTTGTGATATGAAGTTCTCTACTCCTAACACTGTCCAAACACATATTGTTTATGTTCATATGAATGATATGATAGCTGAACGAGCTACTTTAAAACTTGCTCTTCCCATTACTAATAACAATAGCATTCAGAAACAATTTGAAATTGGTCAAATACCATCAATATCGTCAATGTCATCTTCATCTTCATCATCGTCATTATCATCATCATCATCATCATCATCAACTGAAAGTAAGTTAGCTAAACTTCTTCAAAGATCGACGATTCAACAATCTAATAACATCGAAAGTACTATGGCTAAAAATAAAACTGTTGAATTATTTAAGAACTTCAGAACTATATATCCAAAAAATACAATTACAGAGAAAACTTCAAATCCATGTATTAACAAATCTAATGATAGTATTTCGACGTGTAGTATTATTGCATTAAATACGGAATCAAAAACAGATATTCCAGTTTCTCCATCCGTTGCAACAACTTCTAGGATTGTTGCATCAAATACTGAAGTTGGAAACAATGCTTCAGTTTTTCTATCCACTGGATCGATATTTAAAACTATATCCAATACTGAATCTAAAGATAACATTTCAATTTCTCTACCTGGATCAACCAACAATCTCCGAAAATATTATGAAATTCCTTTAAAATCTGGTTCGACCAATGAGTTTAAAACTAATTCATTAGCTAAGGGATCTATAATAATTAATAAATCCAAAACAGTACCTGCATATCTTTTACCAACTAAACCCCTATCAACATTCAAACGTATTATGCCAAAACCTTGGAAAAGCAATGAAATTACGAATCAAAAATCTGAATCAGTGAACAATTACGCCACTGGTCATAGTTATTCATGCCCATTATGTCCGCTAGAATACCCATCTTTGCTGTTCTTCCATGCACATCTCAAATATGCTCATGCAGATTCCATCGTTTCCATTGGAACTGATGAATTGACTGTCCCACAGGTGAATAAATCTCAGAAAGCCTCTATGATAGAATGTTTATTGTGTCCATGTACCTTCCCTGACGAAACCAAGTATAAGAAGCATTTGAGAAATTCTCATACATATTATGTGTATATCCCAAATTCTCAAGAGATGACGAAAATTAATAACGTGCGTAATCCTCTAACGCAGACAAACGTTAACAGAAAAAGCACAGTTCCTGAAACAATTACTATAGATGATGATGATCATGATAACGTCAAGAATACATCAGATCAAGGAACAGTCGAAGTTACAACGCTCAATTACAAAGAACAGAATGAGAAAATTGGTAAATTAAGAGTGAAGCCTCTTGCAAAGATCATTGAAAATTTATCTATGGATTCTGCATCGAAACTCCTATAGATTAAACAAATCATTTTGATATCAAATTGCCATTAAAACAGTTAACAACACACACATCAATTTACAAAATATTTAAATGATAAACTGGTATAACAAAAAAATGTCACTTCAGTTTTGATAATTTGTTGTAGAAAGAGTCGAATGAGGAAAAAAACTAATTTTTTATTGCAATTATATATATATACATATATA